ATAGATCCCCCCAAAAAGTGCAGGGAATTTTGAAGTTTGTATGTGTTTCAGGTCCACATAAGAAAATATTTAACTTGGGTAACCATATGCCCATTCTGAGGCCTTAATTCTGTAACTGCCATTTTTCCAGGTTGGCTAACATGTAAATGCGGATAAGTCATGAACAAATACATGTAAAATCACATTTTGGGATTTTTTTAGCAAAAGAAGAATGTGGCTATTAAAACTTGATAAAATCTGTGGCAATAAAATCATGTTGTAAAGCCATAAGGCACTTAGATCATCCGAAAACACATTCCCTTTCTTCCAGCTGAAGTTCAGCTCAATTCAGCTTTGTGTGGTCATGTCCCAAGAGGGTGAGTGACTTTATGATAGGAAGGAATGCTCTTTGGATGTGTCATGTAATGAAGTTGGAGGATGATCAGTGAATCAGGCTTTTCAGAGACTTGGAAAAAGTACTGTAGAACACTGTAGGTTTGCATCCTTCTGCTTAGACCAGAGCCCTCCTCAAAGCAAATCTCCCTTGTACTGGGAAGTCACTTTTGGAAATGTAAAAGGGTTTTGCCTAAAAATTCATCTTCATGTACTCCCAGATGCAATGCCTTGGTTGTTTTTGTTTATTTAAACTGCCTTTAAGTTCTTTGTGGGTATTTGCACGTATCTGCTGAGTATAAGCCAGTTTGCTATTTAGATTTTTTTCCATAAGGACTTTCCCCCTCCACAATTGCCACTACTAAGATGCTGTTAATAGCTGCTTGATATCCCAGAGTTCCCCACATCTACGGAAGAGTACTGCTTTAAGTTTCAGGACTGCTCTGTCTGTCCCAGTCAAGGTTGCCTATTTCTCCTTGCTTATCTGGGCATGAAGTCTCTTTCCCAAAGCAGTCTTGGTAGGCTCTTTCTTAAAATAAGTGTGCAAAACTGACAACACTCACATAAAAAAATAACAGCTCATTACAGAGAAGGAAAAATAGCATAAAAGGTAATAAAATGAAGTATTACTTAAGCTTTCTTCACTTAGGGCCCAGTTATGTTGATGGTGCCTTTACTGCTCAGAAGCCTCCGGACTGAATTGCTTTCAAGATATTTGTGTCTTGCCAAGGTGAAATTGGCAGAGCCAGAGGGGCAGCCAATGCAATCTAGCTCCCCATCCTCCATCTTTGGACTTCGAATGGGAGAAGAGGAGGCTGGGTAGCTTGTATCCTGACTGGGTAGCTCGTATCTCCCCTCCTTGCCCACTGAAACATCTCCTTTCCTTTTCTAAGTTGCTTTAATCTCTCCCAAGGCAGCTGACTTGGTCCGTCCTATGCCTGTGCTGAGAGAGTGGAGGAAGGAGGTCAGACCTCAGACTCCCTCTTCCAATTCAGAGCACTGTCACGAACCTTGGAGGAGTTTTTTTTTCTGAACAACCCTCAGTCTCAGGGTCACTTTCCCAGGGACCATAGGATTGCCCTCTCCACAGATTACACTGGAATTTCTGAGCAGGTTCCCACAAATGTATGTATTCTGAAAGCCCATTCTGTAGACCATTTTATGGAGTCTGAGAAGGCTCTGGTCTTATGACTTCTATTTTGGTTCCTTTCTATAGCCAGGCTAAAATTAAAAAAAAACCACATCTACACAAGGATAAGTTAGAATTTAACCTGGACGGTGAGAAAGAGAGATCCAAGCCTTCTTTAAACCTACTGTGTTCCGCCTTGATAAGAAGATAGCATCTCCACACTCCAGGATTGTAGAGCAGTTCAAACTGGGTTGGAACTGCATGGCTTCATGTGCCAGAACTGGGTAACCAACCCCGGTATAGGTAACAAGCATATTTGCAGGAAAACAACACAAAAATGTCCAAAGACAGCTCTACTGACAGTAAGAAATATTGCAGCAAACAACCATCAAACACACACATAGTTTATACATTTTAAAGGATGATTTGTTTTTAGAAACAGATTTTCAGACTCAGAACATTTTGTCATACAATGCCAGTTTCTTTCTCTGAAACAGGCATTTTATGCTGAAATGTTTCTCATTTGGAAATCTGTTTGTTTATTTAAAAATAGGCTAAGAGTTTAAAACTAGATACATGATAGCTGGTTTAATGTGGTTGGAGTAGTGTGTGTGCATATTGTCTATGTCTTTGTTTCTATGAAAGAAACAAAAATCCCAAATCCATATTACTGTAATACTGTTATTAGAGCAACCAAAAGATTCCCGAAGTGTCTGAGCTTCAGTTGAATGCCATCAAGTCAGACTTTTCTCCTTCTCCCTGCTAAAGTTTCCTTTTGTAACGACTTGCTTGAGGGAGGATCTAGGGACCTCGAAATCGTGCACATTTTTGGGTGATTAGGGGGAGCTGGCCTAATAAAAGTAGGACACTAATATGGGTTTTGAATCTTACTAAGTATTTCAGAAAAGATAGAAATTCTACCTGCCACCTCTCTGAGGTAGTCTAACAAGTTCCATCCAGTTGTTGTCTAGGTTACAGACAAAGCTGTACACATAACCTTGATTATTTTGCTGACTGCCAAAATTCAGCTTTGCTCTTTTAAAAATGGAAAGCGGTAATGTCAAGCTGCCCAACTTTTAGCAATTATGGCCAGTTTAGGGCAGGATCATTGCATTTGCGTTCAGCCACACAGAGGTGCAACAGGGTAATTTTAGTGCCTGGACTTAATGGTCTTGTTGGTCGTCAAGTGAAATTTGTTTGCATTCATCTTCTGCTTTCTGGAGTTCCCAAGCGACAGTCCACACATACACATTTAAAGAGCCCATGAACCAGAATGTTCAAAAGCATTATGCTCCTTAGATGGATGCAGGGCGGTAATGACCTGTGTGTGAGAGATTGGAAGCTGGTAAGAAAATGTATTTTTAAAAGTATCCTAGAGCACTTAAGCATCGGAACAAAGAAAAAAATGTATCACCCATAAAGAAGCATAATGAGCTGCACAGGCTAATATCTAGATATAGATGCATGTTTAGAAATAATCACTGTAATTTCAATAGAAATTCAGTACTGCTCACAATAGTGAGGAAGACTGACCAGATGACTTGTGTACCTAGCAAGTCTGCTGTCTGGATGATATGAGTTGATGAGCAACTTCACATTCCTTTCAGTCTATCCCTTCTGTAGTCCTTTATTTTTCAACTGTACTTATACTGGGCAGCCCTTCAGTTATCAAACAGCTTCAATTAGAGGATTGTTCTCTGTGATGTAAAATGCAAGGCCACCCTAGCAGAGTTAAACCTCGGTAAATTCCAAGCTCAGTAGGAGCTGATATGGAACTTAAGGCCATTGAGGTTTCTATACCATGCTGATTTGCTGGGTCAGTTCTATAGGAACAGTAGTCCATTGTCCAGTGTGAATGGTAAGCTTAACTCATGGTGAGTGGAATATGCTCTGGCTGAACCAAAGTTCATCATAGGGAATGAATAGGAAGTAACCGCAATTTTGTGCAGAGTTGTCAAACTTGGGTAGTTTGAAGAGCCATCTCAAACTCATCTATTAGTTTCCTTGGAACCCTACCCGTATTTTAATCAGGTACAATTGAGGCGTCAGTTGTGCCTGTATTTCTAGCAAAATTTAATTTCTGCTCGATTAAATGTTAAATTGTTTTGTGTGGGAGGAGAGATGAGACAAATGATTCAGCAAGCTGTGACTGTGCTTAGGTTGTGGCGCTTCCTACCTTGGGATGTCCCATTTGGTGCCTTGTCTCTTTAATTTTCTCTGCCTGGATCAAGACTTTTTCCAGCAGGCATTTGACCTGCTGGATTGAGGATTCTTTTATGGCTGCACTTTTGGGATCTGCTGTTCTTTTTAAGTTTTTACTGGTATTTGCTGCACCTGTCTCTGTTTCTACTGCTACTTTATTTTTGCTGCTGATTGTTTAAAATTTAAGCTTTGTATTCCCCCAGATATCATTGTTTTTAAAATGTTGCAGGGCTACTCTGAATGCTGCAAATGCAATAAAATAATGGAATGTAAATAAACTTTGTGGATGTTATGCTGGTCTGCATTTGGCCAATTCTTGGATGGGAAACCAGTATATGCTACTTGGAATTCTGTGAAAGAAAAGAAAGGCATAAAGGAAAGAGACAGATATCAGTCACTGAAAGGACACTGTGAATGGTGTTGGCAGAGAGAATGCGACCCATGGCAAATCTTGGTAGCGTAATTAAACATTAGCGCACACTCCTTTAATTGGGGTATTTTGAAGCTCAAAAGGACCAGATTCTTCCCCCAGCAGCATACCAATTCTGCTTTTAAATACATTCCAAATCAGATGCAGAGAGGTGGCATGCCTTTGAACAGCACAGGGCATGAAGTCCCTTTTGAAGGCAGCATTGATGTGGCTGATGCTAGCTATCCAGCCAACTGTATTCCCAGTGGGTAGGCTGCTGTTGGTCCATCTAGTCTGCTGTATCTATTCCACCTGGCAGTGGAGTAGCCTCACCAGGGTCTCAGACCAAGATCCCTATTTTTTTCTGGTGATTCCAGGGATCCTGACACCTTCTGTGTGCAAAAAGCGCGTGTTCGACCATTAATCTACACTCCATACCCAAATAGAACTGCAGTAGTACCAAGCAGAGGAATGTACGTGACTGGATGAGATTTTGGTCTATTTGTTTTCATGTAGACTCTGCCACCATCCTAGGCCTGCTGTTTCCTGGCTTGCCATGTTGCCTGCAGGAATCAAGGCATGCACCATGTGGTGTGCCAGGAAGATATCGGTGACTGCAGAAAAGAGTACATGAATGACACAGGTACCCGCACATCCCAGAGCTTGTTCACAGATGTGTAATTACAAAGCTGTGAACTTATTTAGGGTCGGATGGTCTTGAGGCTAAATGTTTGGATCTTGATGGGATGAGCCAGAGCACATGAATGAATCTCCAGCAGAAGTCCACAGATGGTTCTCCCATTCTTAGAATGCAGCAATCTGTTCTGTACATTTCCAAAACAAAACTCCCAAGCACAACTGTTGATCATTTCTCTTTTTCCTTTCCAGGCAGAATATGAAGTTACTCCAGATGAAAAACTGGGAGAGAAAGGCAAAGAAATTGTGATGAAATACCTCATCCCAGAGGTAAGGAACCCCTGGATAAGGTAGTAAGGAAAACTGCAGGAAAGCTGAAAGCCAGGTCCTGGTATCCTAGCATAGCACATCTTGTTAAAATAATAGGCAGGGAAATAGATCAACAAATACAGGAAAATTGCATGAGAATTTGTTCTGGACTGGATCACTTCAACTGTCCCCCATGTTCAGACATTCACATCATGCCATTCACATATTCTCATGCTGAGAATACTTCTCAGCCCAGGTGTTGCAGGGAAGATTTCTAACCTCGGGTATTCCCTGAGTTTCTAGCTCAATACCTGCAGAGTTCTTGATATGCCGCCAGTTATATATCCTCATTTTAAAACTTGGCTTTATATTAAAATAACAACAAGAAGCAGAGACTATCCAGAATGCTGCTGATTCGCTCATCTGATCTATTGTAGATGACTCCTCAAAGCTGGATACTTTTCAACATTGACCTGACTGGCATCAGAGCTTTTCTGCCCAACTAAGCTCCACACACAGGGTATTGGCATGTGAACAACTGACCCCCTTTCTTTTTTCATGATAGTTCCAAAAGGGAGGTGGGAAAATGATGTTTATTACAATGTTTAATGCAGTTCAAATGCAAGCCTCTTCTTTAGGAGAGCAGAGATGAGCCTGATTAGCTAGCCAAAGAATAAGGGCCTCCCACATTGCTCACCCTACTCACCCCAATTTTTATTTAAAAATGTTTGTGTATTTTTGTATTGGCAGTTGGGATTGTTTCAGAGTGAGGTGCTGCCATCTTAATTTCTTATGACTGTCTTTGGGCAGCTAACTTGTCTTGTGTGATACGCCATGCTCATGCAGGGCACACATGCCCTATGGCAGTTTCTTCAATTTCCCAGTGTGCCCATGCACCTACAAAGCTCTCTACCCCTCCTGCCCCTGCACATGGCATAAGGATGCTGGTAGCCTTAGAGAGAACCCTTTTTGTTTTGTTTTGGAGACAACAACTCCTAAAGAAGTGTCTTCAGCTCAAATTAAGTGTAGACTTTCCAGTAAATACGGATTTGTACCCTCTAGCATTTCTCTTAATCTCTTTTGATCTTTTACTCTCCTGGTACCTCTAACTTGTACTGCTTTACTCCCTGCTATGCATCCCAGTTGTATTTTGCCCTGTGCACAGTGAAAAATGATAAACAGATTTTTGGAAGAAATCTGACCCATAAAAACCAGACATGTAGCAAGAAATAACCCCATTTTTGTCTGTATAAATATGGTCTTAAGATATATTAAAAAGCAGGAGGTGCTAAGCATTCAGTCTTCCCTTTATTTCTTACATTAGAACGGATAATATTCCCTCCACAAGAAGGATCATACTGAGCTGAACTGTTGTCTTCCCTGAGATGGTTCTGATGGCCCCTATGGTGAGGGTGAAGTCACTGATGTTCCTTTCCCTCTGGATTAGGGGCCATTACCTTTGAATTGGCTCAGAAACCTAGGGAATGCGGCACAATTTGTCAGCTCCCGCTTGAACAGTTTCTACTTGCCCAGGAGCACGTGCGTTAAGCTGCATCCACTAGATGGCATTCTGAGCAGAAGACCGAAGAAACTTACCACTCTTGTTAGATTATAGCTATGCTGGTGCCCTTACTGTCTTGGCTTTTTCAACCGTTCTTCGCCTCTGTGCAGGAGTTTCCACCATTAAGCAGAAGCCAGTGTGTTTTGAGCACATGATTCCGCGTAGGTTGTCAGCAGAGTAACTAGGACCTGTGCATATTGCTTAGATTTTATTCATTCAATTATTATTATTATTATTTTGGAAGAAACATGTTTGACCCTAGAAACAAAGGGTTAACTTTGTCCCATTTTAAATTTAAATGATACAATATGTTTTGGCAGGAGATAAGGTGGATTTTTACAACTTTGTTTTGCTTAGTCAACAATTTTCCTACCATAAATTTTTCATTGGTTTATGTTTTCTCTCAGGGAGTTCTTTGGGGCATGTTTTCACTTACTTAGTCTGGTTAGTGTCAGATGCATGAAGATATGACAATCCAGAAACTGTTGCAATGATGTTCATGGGCATCACAGCTGCACCCCAATCAGCTTTTGTTGTGACACAGTGGTGTCTGCCGGGGTCAGATCCTGGCAAAATCCGTCAGCTAGCAATTGTAACAGACAAAATACTATCAGGCCTAATGCTTAATAAGCAGAACCGGGCTCCTTTCTCTTCTGCCCCTTTTCTGATGCCGTAGCACAAGTGTTAGGGTGGCAAATGGTATCTTGGAAGGAATACAAGTGGAAATGGCAAATATTGTACATTCTTCTTTCAGAAATGTTAAACAATGCATTTTCACGAAACAGATTGTTTATGCTCTTCCTGTCTATTACAACAGAAACCCATTTTTAGAGTTTTGTTTCCTAAACTTCTTAGTAGCCACTGGTAGTTCCAATGCATCACCTTTGTATTTCTTGCCTCTCACCCCCACTTTAGTGCAGTCCTACATATTTGCATAAATAATAGCTGCCTGGTGTAGTAGCTAATATGCTAGATTTAGATTCTGCTCCAGTTCAGACTTCAGAAGCTTAAAAGAAAAACAGTGTTTCTGTGGACTTCTTCCACAAAAGTTGTTAAAAAGTGTATTTTAATTTTCTCTGTAACAGGAAAACAATGTCTGAACATTACCTTAGCGTATGGGGAGTGCACATATGATTTTTCAGTGTGATGCATTGTTGAAAAACATTGTTTTATTCAAAAATTCATAGCTGCTGTTCAGAATCAACAGCTTCAGTATTGCATTCTTAAGCAGTAACCCAACTGTGTCATGCAGTGGAAGGTATTTTGGAGAGAGCATTCACTGCAGAAGGCAAATGAATCTTGTATAAATCTAATGTTGTTTACGCATGTACACACCATATACTCTGCATAAAGAAACTGTATTTCTGCAATGGGCAGACTGTAAGACACAAATATCAAAACCTCTGGAAAACTGCACCCAGTAATTTTGAGATGGCAAATGAGTGCTCTCAGACATGTTTGTATGCTCATGTCAGTATAAAAGTCTTGCTAGTGAAAAATCATCTGTCCCAGCAGCTCAGACTATTTCAATTGCCATGTTAGTTCAGCTCCTGCTACAAAGAACTAATAGTTCAACTAATCCAAATTCTGATTAAAGCACAAGATGAATACCTTGAAGTAGGTTGAAAGCTAATACCAATTATTTCAAAAAGTGTTCTTATATATTTTCTACACATACAATAATGCAGAAAATCAGAAGCCTCTGAAAACTGCATTCCACCCTCAAATGGAAGAAAAATAAAAATAAGCAGTTTGTCTTAGTGAGTTTCTATAAGGGGTATGGAGGATTATCAAGGACAAAAGTAACTTAAAAGTGAGGCAGTTTTGCCTCCTGGTCTGCTCAAAGTTGTCTGCTCCTGCTTTAAAGTGATAGTTCAGAAATTAGCATATAGCCTAAACATCATAGGAACATTAAGGACACAGGATACAAATTCCCAGCTCATGTTCATTAAATATATTTTCTACAATTATGCAAACTGAACTTTATTTGTGGCATTGCTGGCTATGTTTGCATGCCACATTAAGCCATCTTGTGCATCTGTTGTGAGTTGTTTGTGGAAGAACCCGTGGTGTGTCTCACAGGTGATTAGGCTCACTGTGTCTTGTGCTCCTCCTCATGTCCCCTTGTTCCTTAAGCTGGTATTCCAGTATCCTTCACAGTAGCCCCCAGCCCGTCTCCCCTTTCCTGCTCTGATAACTACCCTTTTTATTGCCACCATTTATTTATTTTAGAGCTAAAGCACTCTGGGTAGATTACAAATAGCACAGAAAATACAAATAAAATGCAGTATAAGGTACAGATAATAAAAACATCATAAAATTCATTACCAAATATAAAAGTTAAATTTAAAACAACTGCAAAACTTGCAAAACTTCAGATGACCCCACTAAGCAGTTTCATGTAGTTCTAAAATAGAATGGAGCACCAGACCAACCCCTGAGGAACCTCATACTGGAGAGTCCAAGAAGCTGAGCCATATCCCTCAAGCATTACCTGCACTTGACCCATCTCCTGTTTCTCCTGCACTCCCTTGCTCTCTCCTCAAACGTACACCATGGAGCTGTACAACTCTACTGCACACAGGAGGAGCTCAGGAGCTATTGCATTAACTGCCAGTTCTGTATCCCAGAGATTGACCAGGACTTTGATAGATCCTTCAGCTGGAAATCCATTAAGAGCAGTCTGGAAACTATCTGGATCCATCAGCTTCCAGGGGCAGACCATTTTAATACATCTTCCAACTCTGCATAGGGGGAAAGGTTTTTGTTAATCTACATTTCATCAGGCAGTGACCTGCCCATAACAGAAGAATTCATTCAGTGCCTCCCACCTTCAGATCACTATCCCTGTGTCTGGCTGGGGGACGGGGGTGAAATCCAGAGTGTGTCCTGTTGATTTTGAACTGATAACATGTTGAGATGGCCCTATAGTTATCCATGAAATCCTGAGCTGCCCAAAATAGCATGGCCTCAGCATGGATACTAATATCCCCCTGGACAAACAACCTGGGGACCTCAACAGTGCAACCAAGACAGCCTCTGTCAGTTCAAGAATGGAGACTGTTGTGTCATGGGGTGGATGGCAGACTAGCAGAGTCCCCAGTCTGTCCCACTGGCTCAATGTAAGATGCACACACTCTAGACTAGGAGTCAGACAGGCAGGAGAGATGAAATTCTTATAGACCACAGTAAGGCCCCCATCCTTCAAGTCAACCCTAATACTGAATCAAGTACCCCAGTGTGTACAGATGGGAGGGGCTAATTCCTCCCTTTTGCTCAGGTCTCAGCGACATATGCTGATCAACTGCCTGGTCCACTATTAAATTGTGGATGAGGAGGATCCTTTTCTATACTAATCTGACGTTCTAAAGCAGCCTCCAGAGACCTGAGGACAGCCTGATAGGGCCACCACCAAACCTGTGGTTGCAAGGAAGCCCGGATACAGCACTGTAAGTAGTTG